GAAAGAAAATAAACAATAATGCGATGATTGCTCGCTATTCATTCAATTTAATGAACGGGCCGCAGCAGTCGTCGTTGGGTTTTGTTTTGCACGTAACTGTACTTGCGAAACGACCGAAAGGACTGGGTTTTGACATCCATCCGATTTCAATTCAACGCTGTGATCGATCGCACCTCGGCACTCGCCATGAAAGATTGACCGGCCTTTCGTGCGAGCAATTGTGTGTTATTCTTTATGGTAGTGTGTCGGTTTAACCGAGACGCGAGTCGAAAACGAAATGCTTCACCCATGGCGTGAAAGCCCCTTCATCTCGGGGGAGAGGAAAGAGAGGACCTTTTTTCCCCGCTCCGTTCGAGTCAGGCGCTGCTCGCTCGTGGTGGGTTCCTCGGGGTCAACCTTTTGAGAAAATCCTGACCGTGGCACGCATGTGCTTCATGATAAATCTCTTTGGAATACCGATCAGCCCAATTGCCAACGCTTCGAACGAACGAACGAACCCTGGGAGATAAGAAGAAGAAGAAAAAAAAGAGAGGAACGAATGCCGTCAGTGTCTTTCGAGAACCCGGGACTCGGTGGAGTGTCGGTAATGGCGATATTTGCCGTGCGATGATGATAGTTCGGGTCAGATAGCTCAATTTCACTCCTCTGATCGACGTTTCATCGGCGAGGGTTCGTGAGTTGCACCAGGGTTTGCGTGAAAGCTGCTTCGGAAATCTTGAAACGCATTGCGTGCTTGTGGCGTGTTACACTTTTCCCCCTCTCTTCGTCGACTGGAATCAAAGGTGCCTGAGGTTTACGAGCTTCATCTCACTTTTGCTTCGCAACGCGACAGTTGTGAATTCAAGTGCTTTGAAAACTATAGAAGGGGTGAAAATCATGACATTACAGCAGTGATAATTTTACCGCTTTTGGGAAAGAAAAGTGGAGGGGAATGTTTGCTTTTCCAGGGCAAATCCCGGTCTGATTCATTCGGTGCTAATCTAACGGACAATGGCGAGACAAGAATCATTTCCCTCGGGATGCCACCGTTATTTTTTCTCGTCTCCCTTTTCGACAGACAATAATCGCTGTCCTGAGGATGTCACTCATTTCAACCTATTTCCCAGGTGCCAGTCACGAGTCCTAGTCCCGAAAATGTTGGAAATTTTCACCTTTTCCCGTCCCAGGCTCCGAATCACTCGTGGTTTTCCGGTTGAAGCCAGGATCCGCCCTTCGTTGACACCGTCCCACCTTCCCGTGACAAAATTTGCATGATTATGTGTTTATTAGTGTGAGAGATGTTTCAAGTTTTTGTGTCAATGACGCATGGAAAAACTTCGTGGATTCATTCGCTGGATGATCCCGAGCGAGGAAGAACGAGGTTGTGTGTCGTGAACACATGCCAACGTAGACTCGACTAGCTTTAGACCGATCACTTAACTGAAGTGCAGTGATCTCCGTTCCTTTCCCGAAGGCAACATACATCACAAATCCGCGAAAAGAAAAAAAAAACCTGACTTCATTTGCATGAATCCCGTCCATACATGGGCCAGGTTCTTGAGAAAACGGTTCCGCCGATCGAGGTTCGCTTTCTCGCTTGGTGAGAAATCTTTGACAGCGCGGTTCCACGTTCATAAAAAAGTTTCCTTTTTCCATCTGCCGTCGAAAAAATGGTACCGTGAAGAATTTGACTGATGTTGAGAAACTGCGGCGAAATCCACGACGTTTTTGTTTTCTTATTATTCCTTTGCGATCCCGTTTGTGGAAGAGGGAGAAAAATTTGCGTTTGCGTGATGACGCGAGGGCAACGCGGGTGTCATTCCGCAACGGCTTTTTTCCGGCTGCTCGGTTTCGATTGTCTGCCTGTTATCGATAACTTTCTAAAGTGCTTGGCGCTTCTCTTCACGGTTTCATACTATAGAAAGATATATATATTCAAATAGAAAGAGAAGCAAGAGGAAAGCGGCTCTTTTGGCTGCCTAGCAGTCGTCTGACGAGGCTGTTGCTGAAGCCAAGTGTGAGTGTTGCGCGTGTGTGAGCCGTGGAGGAAGATTACTCTTCTGACTACAAGTGTTCGGTCCGTCGTTCAATCGGAACTGTTGCTTTTTTTTCCTGTGTGAAACAGTATATATACCGTATATTTATAAATACCGTATATATTTATATACAATATCTTGGAGTGTCGGCTCGACGGAGCAAGTGGATGAATGGAGAGGAATCAGTCCAGCGTTACCGTCCCTGAGAAACGGGAGACTCGGAAATTAGGTTTCGAGGCAAACGCTCTCCGATTATCGGTGAAAATGAAGCTGAGGAACAAGGTATACGAAGCTTGCCTCTGGCTAGTGACCCAGTATCTTCCCCGTAGTATTCCTATCTATCTTTCTCTCTTCCTTTTGAATGTGACGGGGGGAGGGGAAAATAACTTTTGTAGTAGCCCTTCGTGGGAACAGCCTTAGCTGGAGGCCTGCGAGTTTCTGTCTAGTGGCTTGGATTTTTTGTTCCCTCGTAGTTTCATATGCATCTCTTGGCGGTGGTGGTAGATAGGTTTTATAGACTCTGTGCGTGGGTTGTTGTCCTGCTGCGACGAGTCATGTATGACATATTGCCCTATCTTTCGTGCACCCGTATTTTTTATATCTTTGCATGTGATGCACGTATAAATTTAGTGCAATACTTGCGAATTTTGACGAAGTGGAACAGAAGGACATGTAGAACGTCTGTGGGAAACCTGTGTGCGTTGTCTCGATTGCAGAATTTCTCTGAATGAGAAATTCTGAAATTTTTTATAATAGGAAACAATTTACCAATTAGGAGTCTTTTCATTGTTCCGAAAACAATCCGCATCAAATACGTTCCATTCGTTGCAAAAAAATACATATTTTGGTTGAATCGAACGAAATTCTTTCGTATTTCATTCAAAGTCAGCAGGGACTCGAAATCGGTCTCTTGGCATTCAAGTAAGGTAAAACTTACTACTGTACTTTAATGTGATCGTGCAAGTCTCTTGGCAGGTATTAAAACTGCTGGAATTAAAATTTAAATTATCTCCCTCAATTCTTCCCTGCTAAGTGAATCAAACGTACGCTTATCGAACCTAAGGTAATACTGTATGAATGATAAATTCTTCTGATGCACGTACATTTTTCCACCAATGATCCAAACGTAGCTTTCAGTGATGAGAGACTGTTATCTAATCTGTGTCTTGCTAAAAAAAATTAGTGTTATGAAGCAAGTGTTAAATAATTTCGTCCTGTCTTTCGCAAGTTAGGAAATCTCATGATTAACGACCAGAAAACTCGATAAAATGCCGGGGTTCTCGTATTTATTTGACTTATTTGAGGAAATTCTGATTTCGCAGCATACAGAGTTTGCTATAGCAATAATTATTTTAACTTGTTCTTGGCAGGGAAACTCTTCAACTTTTTTTCCCCAACTTATGTAATTATTGTTCCTCATTTTTCTTTGTGGTATATTTGCACCAGAAGCTTGGAATGTTCGCAAAGCAGGAAAGAAAGAAAAATAAAAATTGTGATGCCTTTTGGCGCGGAGATACCGCTGTCTTCTCTGGGTCCCGCGTTTCCTCAGTTCCAGTCGGAATTCCGGCTTGGATGGGATTCATTTGCGGAGGAACGGCGTTTGCTTTATGAAAGAAAAAAAATATTATTCGTGATTGATTGTAAAGCTTCCGGCTTTTTTTTTCTCGCGCACGTGGGTTCTGCTGTGTTTCCCCAATAACAAAATCTGCTTTATTGAAATCAACCCTTTTCTCTAGAAAACGGCTTTGAGGCCTCATATCTTAACGCTGTATAATGTCACTTCGTCTCTTTAATTTTGCCGAATGACAGTAATCCATATGAATCCAAAGAGGAGGAATTCAACCTGAAATCCCGATTTGTTCTCTACTCGAATGTTCTCACAAAACAACTTCGTCTTTAACGTTATTGCCAATTCAGAATATTTTCCTTGTCCTGGCAGGCATTGGATTATTTAATGCCATGTACTTTCTACAGAAAGCATTATTTTTGACCTTTTGAGAATCTTTGCAGAGAAAGAGTAGCTAGATATCTGAAAATAATGCCAGGGCTTATGATTACAGTACCACATAGGTCACAAACAATTCAGCAGAAAGTAATTGCGGAGTATGAACAGGCAAATCGGTAAATTTTCGAGGTAATATTGTGAGGAAAGAAAAATGGTACTGTACTGAAATTCCAAGAAGTGTCGAAGCAGATGATTATCGGCCGGAAATGAGCTGGTGTAGTGTGTTCGTTTCTTCCATGGATGTCACATTATCTTACAAATCTAATAAGTTGAAACTGAGGTTTCGGCCTAATTTTCGGAAATTCGATTTTGGGTTGTTTCCGAGCTTTTCAGGGTATTCGGCCATTGGAAAGAATTCTGGCCTAATTGCGAGTCAATCCATGACAAATTCTCAAAACAAAAAAAAAAGACTACGGTGTTGGTCTGATTTAGCCAGTCTTATTTCGCAGAGGTTGTCGGTTATTTAGAACTTGTGAAAGATGAGATTCTCTTCGTCATGAACTTTGTATGAGTAGGAGCAGTGGGTTGTGACAACAGAATTTCCCTCTTCGCGCTTCCTGTTCGTGTCCCCGACAGAGTCGGACTCGAACGCAACACGGATTCGGAATTGGGAACGGCGTTTCCTTCTACCCGCAGGGCATCTCTGTACAGTGTCTCTCCGCGTGATTTAAAGTGAACCGGTCATAGGTTCCTGTGCCGTGCGGAAGCGCGGTCCTGGCTTCTTGAAAGAGCGCAAGTCTTTTTTTCTTGCTTCTTACTTTTCTTGAGTTGAGTGCGAAGTCATTGTCGTGTTTCGGTCGAATGAACGAATTCGATTCCGGAAGACGCGAGTTAATCCGTGTCTGCGGTTCGACTCGTTATCGGTTGTAACCTGGAGATCGCCGCTTGGCAAGGACGATTTTACGTGGTCATTTTTTTTTCCCATTTACTATTTCTGAAATCCGTGAGCATTATGGATTTGTTCCTTTCTCGTTTGCCTTTTTCAAAAAGAGGGGGAAATGATCTTTCTGACTTGCCAGGCTTCATCAGTTTTTCTTCTGCGTCCGGTGTTGGCAGGAAACTGCATTTCGCTTCTTGCTTTCTGTCACTCACGAATCGCGCGATCGTTGCACTCGAAACTGTCATCGTCGGTGTCGTTGCACGTTTTTACTGAAGGCTTCCCTGGTCGGGAGTTCGAAGTGAATCTGCTGGTGATGGCTCTTTCCGGTTGGGGTAGAAAGTTGATCTGGTTTTTTATTTTTAAATATCGCTTACTAATCATTTATTCCGTGTGCTCATATGTTGGAAATCCATCATCTTCGAGTTTGTAACTCGTGAGGTTTCTCAATATACACCAGAACCATCTCGAGCTTGCATTTTTTGTGACGAAGTATGGATTCGTGGCTTCCACTGGAATTTTGAAATCTTGAAAGATTCTCGTTCGGAATCCCACGTGAACTCTCGAAGCTCGAAAGGGTTCTGGTTTGATGATCACGTAACTTTAAGCTTAAAATAACAGCTGAAAATAGCTGGTCCTTCTGCAGAAGATTTCACAGCTTCAATGTGTGTTCATAAACTGGATTGATTAAATTATAGCGTATTTACATGAGTATAAGACGTTATGTATAATACAAAACTCTACTTATCAGGCAGTCTTGAAAAACATTTGCTGGTGAAACTACGATTTACTGTCACTTAGCGTCGATTATGTCAATGAATTCCTTTAAATGGCCGACGAACGACGAAAATTAATTTCGCTAGAAATATGATTTCTGCGTTACTAAGAGAAGAAACCAGATAATTTCGCACTCAGGATTATAGATTGGCTTTTTTTTATGAACTCAATTCTCTGGGTCACGTGAATTGTCGATCATTTGAATTACGAATTTTGGACCCATAAATTTACAATCATGATTTTATTGTGAATGAAAATCAAAGACAATCGTGTGTATATTCGCATGAATACGGCATCATAACTTGCCTGCCTAAAGGAAGAAAGGATATTAGCCCTTATCTCAAACTGAGCTGTTGCCCAGTCAGATCTCTTGTGGAAGGATCGGAATTTATTCAAGACAGGCTAATCCCATTCAGCTTCTGTCGAGGCAATATTCAGTATTAAGAACGTATGTTGTTTATTTTTGGGAAATTCACAGACACCGACGACGACGAGAGACTTGGGTTCGTCGAACCAGTCGTTCCACTCCAAGTCGACCCCATCCGTGATCCACCCTACGGACATGGTGAATGCGCCGCCGCCGCCGACACCAACAGCCACTTCATCCTCGTCGGCGACAACCATTTCCATCGTCAATGGATCCTCGTCATCCGTGACGAGCGATGGGTCCGTCAGAGTCCGCGGGTTCGACAATGTGTCGAATTCGTCGTCGACGACTTCCCAGACGGGTTCGTCGCTTCGGCCGCCGATGCCGCGCGAAGTCCTGGAAGACGTGCTTTCTCGACCCGGTCCTTATCCGATGATCGCACTGCCGCCACATGGCGGCTATTGGATCGACGGCAGTGACCACGAGTGTCCGTATGATGCTCATGGCAACCCCTTGGTACCTTCGTCTCAGCCACCGCCGCCGGGCAAGCCCAAGTTTGAGACAGACGACACTGCGAGGTGCTACCGGAGATACTTCCTGGGAAAGGTCAGTCCGAATCTTGTCTTGGTTTTATTTTCCTACACTGGCCACGTGTTTGACCCCCTATCGAAGAAAGTCGAACCCCGCCTTTTTTGCACGTTTTAAAATTGATCATCTTAAAACTTTCACATTTTCAAATTTTAACTTCGCGGACACTCGGAATCCGAGAGTATTTTTCGCATGCCGATACAGGCCCAGCTGATTCAAAAAAATGAAGTATCTTAACGACGGATAATTGAAGCATCGTTAATTTCTCCAGAAACTTGTTCCGGGTCCAACTGTCATATTTTCTAATAGGAAGAATGTTTTGATGCGGTAACGATCAGCGGATTTTTAGAATGTTTCAATGGCAGCGTCATGTATGGGGAGCAACCTAGTTAATATTTTGCTGCAGTAGCATCTAACGAATGCTTCTGTGCTCGGGTTGAAAGTATCCTTTGAGTGAACAACCTGCTTCCAACCTCGTTTCATTTAAACATGTCAATGACCCGGTGTGCTGAACTGAATATTTTAAATCGTATCTACTGTAAGATGTGTGATACAGTCTTTGAAAATCGGGCGTGGAAATCCAATTGTAGGAATCAGAGCAGAGAGAACTTCTGTAGAAATCTGAAATTTTTTGTGCGAAGAAAGGTGAAAGCGAATATGAGAGACGAATGAGAAATTTTTAATAGCCACCTTGGTTAAGTGCTGTACAGCAATTTGAATTAATCCCTTGAGCCAAGAAATGGGCGCCCACATTGTCTCAAGCTGTTTATCGGCCAGTGCTCTTCCGCGGACCATTGTGTCTAGGTGTCATTATTTATACTCGTTCTGTAAAATAAATCATATAAGGATATACGGTATTAAGCATCACACGAATGAAGTTGCTTGGCTAATTTGGAATTCCACTCGCCCCTTTCGGTCTTGGTCCGCTCCACAGCAGGGGAGAAACCGTGCGCGTATTGTGTTCCGAAAGGACGACGAAAAAGGAAAAAAAAGGCTTACGATGAGTATCGCCTCTTGAGATGGAACTACAGTAAATTGCTGCGGAGGGAACGTTGTTCTTTTTTTTTTTTAATGTTATGAGAAGGAATAATGTACTCAAGTTTTTCTCCTTGGAGAGTTAAACGGGTCCGACGTGCATTTTAACAGCCATTCCGCTCGTTTGTTCCCCGTCAAACGTTGTGGCGACGAAAGTGTGCGGCTTGTTACTCACTCCGCTGGCTGACCAAGTAGGACTTCAGCATCCGAAAAATAGCTTTTTCCTTTAATCTTTCTCTCGTCCTCTCTCCCCATTATTGAAAGTGAGTCTGGCTTCATAATAAGTAATTTTTTTCTTTTCTTTCGAGAAGCCAGAGAAAGGCGGAGAAATTCTCGGCTCGGGGGAATTAGGTAACCGGTGAAACACGCAATCTCGGGAAGCGAAACCGGCTAAAAGGAAACGTATGGAAACGTCTTTGGTCCGGTTTCGTAATCGGCGCTACACCCGTTCGAATGAAGTACGCCTGCAGTACACGCGAATTCGCACGCGGTAATTGGGCGAAAGTCAGTTTCCGGCTCCGGAATGCAATGGTCTCTTCAGAATTTATTGTTCTGGCACTCTGCGGGAGCACGAGGCAATTTCCGGCGAAGGATTGTGTTGATTTTCGAGCTAGAAATGACTTATTTTTTTCGCAGACTCTCGTGAGAAAATATTGAAGCATCGAGAAGTGAAGAAAAAAAAACCTGTGGGTTTAATTTGTTGTATGGAAGGCTTCAAACAGGGAAATACGGCAAATGAAAAAAGAGAAGAATGAAGGAATTTTCTATAAGATGGAAAATTATACTACCCACGTCTCAAGATATCATTTTTTACTAGGCGCTTCAAAAATCGTTGCACTGAGCTGAAATTTACGACCCTGAAATAGTATTGGGTTTTTTCGTGAAAAAGTACCATTTACATTTTTTAAAGTTTTAAACCTGATGCAAATTTCAAAATCAATCTCACCTCTGGAAACGCCTATCGTTTTTATTTTTATTTTGTTTTTTGATCGGTCAGAATTTTTCCTGTGCTCGTTTAGCAGCGCCAACTTCGTTGAATTTTCATCAACACGAACAAAAAACTGAGATAAGGGGGGTGCAGAAAAATTGGTGCTGAACTTTATGAAACTAACGGATTTCATTGCGATGTATCCTGCACAGTGCACAGTATTCTGATCGCATATGGTTGGAGGTGGAACCGTTCGGCAGTCATTAAAATCACATTCGATTTTGCCATGGTTTTTAAGAGTCTGTGGGGTCCCCCACTGAAAATTATCCGCACGCAATATTTTCCGGGCGTGTTTTTCAGTCGCCATGTGGTCTGTCGGCCAAAAGCGTGGGTAATAATTGAAACCGTGTGTTAAATAACCCTCATTTTACCGGACGATTTTATTTTACCTTTCGTTTGGACTGTCGAACCTTTGTAACCTGCCGGGATCTTGTCGGAATTTATCGTTGGAAAATTACTTCTTCCACTTTTCGAATATACATCAAGCTTCTGTACAGTCGTTAGCTGTAATTAAAATAATTTTCGATTTCGACGAACATTATTTTCGTGTATGACGATGCCTTAAAAAAGGAGATTTGATGAGGAACGATCTTTTCTCTTAGTAAAATCTGAAATGTATATCGTTTCTGTTGACAGCCTGTTTTTGGGGTTAATGGTTTTTTTTTTCAAGAGTTTGGTGTCATAAAATCTTTCTACAGGTGGACTTTCTCTGAAATGAAATTCCGGAGATTGACAAGTAATTCGTTATACCTGGAATATCGTTTTAAAAGCTACGTTCATGCATCAATAAAATGTTTATTGGGTTCTGAAGCACTTCGAGGTCGTCGTTGAAGAGTGTCCATTTCTGTAGCTCATTTTCCAACCAGTAGTTTTTGAATCACGGATTCGCAATTTCTGCTGGAAAAGCTGCTGTAAATTTCAGGCCCTTTGCTCGTTCTGGGAGAATTTCCACGTCTTACTACCGACTTCGTTGCATGAAAAATGAGAAAGTCAAAAAATGATAGGAGCTCCGAATCGTGATCTTTCGCCGCCGCAACTTGACCTTTTCGTATTTTCTTCTGGTCTTGGAAGAAGGAAAAGATAATTGCTCCAGTTTTACGACCTTTCTGCTTCGATTTGTTCCGCTCGTGGTTCGTGATACTCTTTTTTTTCTTTCTCTTCATACCATATTTCTTCTTTCTATTTCGGTCTTCTCTTTCAAATCTCTACTGCCATCTCTGCTCCTTCTATTTTGGTTTCTGTTCTGTCGACGAGAAATGTTCGCAAGACCGCAAGTTGCCGCGATTTTATTTCGGCGTTCGTTCGCCGTGGACCGCGACTTCGCGGCCCGCTTCCGTGCATGACGACGTTGTGGCGAAAACCGACGCCTTCGCTCACGATATGCTATCACTACTGCCTTTGTGTTTCTCGATAATCACAATGTGGGGTATCTTTGCCGTCCTGGCATCGCAGTGCATTGGGTTGGAATTTTTTTTCTGGCTTCATTCCCTCACGAAGGCAAAATTTCATCTCAAAATTCCCCGTCACGACATCGATGTTATGCATCCCGTAGTTTTTTCCCCCCTCCGACACTTCGAGTTTCTTGCGTAAGAATAGTGTTTGTGCAAATTATCTGATGCAAGGCCGACGTTTTAGAAATTTTCTGGAACTACCGTATTTTGTAAATTTACGAGAGATTCGATCATTTTTGTTGCATTTCGCAAAAAAGTAAGTGAGTGACGAACCCTGTTTGGTTGATACGAAGAATATCCGGTTTTTTATTAATTTTAAACTCTTTCGAAATGTTGACACATTACTGACGTTTTTAAATGATTTTGCCTTTTGGTCGCCCTCATTAATTTTCTGGGGAATCTAAAATTAATAAAAACCCTGGTCCAGTTCTCCATTCTGACTGCTTATTTCAACCGAAGAAAATTTTGTTGATTTCTTGACTTTTTCACACCCATAAAGTATCTCTGCGTTTATCCGGAAATGTTAGGGTTTTTGTGCTGATCTGGGTCGAATGACTGGGAGTTTTCCGATAGCTTTTCACTTTCCTGCCGGTGGAATGAATGACCTGGTCGCCCTTGAGTGAAACTAATTTGCTTCAGTAGATCGGTTTACTCTTGTTCTTTAAAATAATTACTTCAAGCATTTGATTTCAAGTCACGTGTTTGATTTCGAGTTATTCTATTCATATGCGGTAAACCTTATCGCTTTCCCTCGTTAAAAATATCAGATGCTAAAAGGGAGTTGTCATTTACCACTGATCACTAAATCAGTTTTCAGAAAATCCGTTCCGTACCTACTTTCAGTTATAATGCAGTTTTCATCACAAAATGACGTTTGATCGTTTTCGATATAATTTTTTGATTACATAATTCTTAAGGCTTCACAAGAGTCCAGGTAAAAAATATGCGAATAATTGACCAAAACTCCGACAAATGCCTGAGAAAAAAAACTACAGTAATGTAAGCACAAGTTTACTGCACACTCGCAGTCCCGACTAAAAGAGTTGTAGTCATGATTTGTTTTGGAATTGTTTGAAGGGATGAAGCTAGCAAGAAGCATTCGTTTAATGTCATTAGCCGATCCTTCTAATTCTGAAGATACTGTATTTAATGGAATGAAAGTGTAACATCCGATTTCCGCGGGCTGCATGGGTTCCATTTGTAAGACACACAAAATGGATGTGCTTATCGTAATCGATGGTATCTTCTCGTACCAGAGTAAACTCTACGAGCCAATCGATGATTTGAAGCCATTTTCGAATCCTCAAAATGCGGAGCAATTTTTTGCCTAAATGGACTTTGAATTGCAGGAAGCAATCTCAACACTTTCCACAGAAAGAGGCGTTCGAAAATCTAATGGTGGAATCGGCTCCTTACGCGGGTAGTTGCCGAAAGAATCATGGTCTGAAATCCGAACGGATTTCGCACGTTCGTTTCCCTTCGTTCGATGGATTAGCGCTTCGTCGTGTCCCGGATTTTCTTTCTTCCGTGAGAATGAAACACGA